CCACTTCCGTTGGGTCTTTCAGGGGCGTCGGCTGTCCCTCCGCGTGGGGCTGTAGCTTGCCGAGTTAACCCCCGGGTTCCTCTCCTACCCACAACCCTGGCCTGTCAACGAAACCCCTTTTCGTGCCCTCGGCAAGAGCCGTCGCCACCGCACCTTATTCGATAGAGTCGTGTGGGGGCAGAAAGGGGGGCGCTTACAAGAACTCAATTCCATTAGGCATTGAAGTGAGTAAAACGAGGTAGCTCACTCGTCGTTGTGGATGGGCAGCCATATCTACAGTACACGTCCATATAGCTATGGCCGCATCTCGCTTATCTACCTAATAAAGGTCCTCTCCCTAGAATTCATTGGGTGAATCCCCTGACTCATTCTGCCGGTTCGCCCCCCCCCCAGCCCTTCACTTCGCCAATAAACCACGTGCCAGTGAGGTGTCTGCGAGACAATCTCGTGGGATGACAATACTCTTATCCCACCTATGAATGCCAGGATGGATCCTAGGTAATTTAAGTATCCCACCGCGTACAGAGCCCTATGCGAAAATCCCTTGTTTTACGAAATAATTCATCCCTCGTTTCGCTATACGTATATATACACGCATACCGTACCGTGGCAACCCGTCCATTGGATCCGCGAGACTCCTTTTACGTGAAACGAGGAAATCCATCGGATCCGGGAATGCGAACCGTGACAATAGACTCGTCTCGCTTCGCTTCGTATCCACGGGATAAATGCTTATAGTATTTCGGAGAGAATCACAGAACGAATGACAGACCTGGACAAAAAAAGCGAGGGAAATTTGAAAAGAGGCTCGAAACAATTTTCTTTTTTTTTATTCATCCCTTAGCTTCAATCTGGCTGATAGGATTCACGGGATATTCGGAAACGTCCTAATTAGGAGAAAAAAAAATTACCCCCCCCCCTCCTCCCTTATTTCGATATTATACGCGTATCGACTATATATACCGCTTCACCTGTAGGGGGTAGTTTTTACGGGTCGAAAATCACACCCCATGCGTACGTAATTCGATGCACGGGATTATCAATAACGCTCGACGTTAATCCTGCAAATTAAGGCGTCCTCGATGACGACGACGGGGTGGGAGTGGGTGGGTGGGGATGATTGCGCCTGGCAATCGCAGCGACATACTTTGCCCATGGATTATATAGGCAAATGGTAAAGGCGTACAGTGAGACACGCATGGATCA